CCTTCACCTGTTTATTGGATTACTATTTTGTCTCGACCCTGGATTGTACCTGTTTGCTGTTGTTTGACCCTGCCTGTTTTGACCACTCTTTGGAATAAAGCTTGCATTTGGATCCTCAACTCTGTTGTCATGCCTCCTACATTGCAGAATACTGAGCCCTACATGGATCCGGCGACTTTGGAATGTTTTCATGGACAGTATGGGCCCAGCGATCAGGTTAGTTGCCCGCCGACAGGGGACCGTTCACTGTGGGTGAGAAGGAGGACTGTAAAACCCAGAAGGGGGGGGGGGGCATTGCTCCCTGTAATGGCAGTCGCCATTCTATGTGTTTGGACCACACACACCACCGCAGTTCCCGCAGAGGTGGCAGCCTCCGCTGAAGAAACCTCCCGAGGTGGTGGCCTCCTTTCCAGTCCCTGAATCCACTCCCGAGCCCACTCCAGTCCTTGAGTCCGCTCCAGCTCCCTCGTCACGCCAGGAGTGCCGTTCCCTGTTCCAATGACTCCAGTTCCCTCGTCACGGCCAGGAGTGCCATTCCCTGTTCCAATGACTCTAGTGAGTAAAGCTCCTCCCGAGGTGGCGGATTGCACTGCAGAACCTCCCGAAGCGGCGGCGTCCGCTCCAGCTCCTCCAGAGGTGGTGGCTTCTGCTGCAGAACCTCCAGAGGCAGCGGCATTCGCCTTTGAACTTTCTGCCAGTCCAGTCACGGCCAAAGAGGCCGCCTGTGAACCCTCTGATGGTCCTGTCATGGCCACAGAGGCCATTTATGAACTCTCTGCCTGTCCTGTTTTGACCACAGAGGCCGTTGATAACCTCTCTGTGCTTTTTATTCCAGTCCAGCCTGATCCGCCATGGTGGTTCCCTGCTCCATCAGCTCCACTCTGGTGGTCATCTGCTCCACCGTGGCGATCTTCGGTCCCGTCTGCTCCGCTGTGGGGGTCTTCGATCCCATCTGCTCTGCTGTGGTGGTCGTCTGCGACACCATGGGGATCTTCGGTCCAGTCTGCTCTGCTGTGGTGGTCATCTGCTCTGCTGTGAGGGTCTTCAATCCCATCTGCTCTGCTGTGGTTGCCGCCTGCTCCACCGTGGGGATCTTCAGTCCTGTCTGCTCTGCCCTGGTGGTCCTTGGCTCTGCCCTGGCTTCCTACTCTGCCGGCTCCGCCCTGGCTTTCTGCTCTGCCTGCTCCACCCTGGCACCCTGCTCTACTGGCATTGCCTCAGTCCCCAGTTCCCCCACTTCCACATGGACCTGGCCCTCCATCCCTCCCCCTGTTCAACCTTCACTCCACCTCCCTCCTGGACTCATTTCTGTTCTCGTTTGGGAGCAACTGGAAGTCACTCCTTACCCCATATCATGTATCTAACCCACATGTTTAACCATCATGCCTTAATCATTTATTGTGAATGTATTTTGAATAACTATTGAATAGTTTAAGAATTGCTATTGATGTTTAGTATGTGTGTGTTTGAGAATTCATGCTCGAAACGTTTCTTCCAATCAATACTTGGTCAAATGTATCATATTCTTATTATAAGAAATCATGTCCAAAATGTATACTCTACCAGAGCGGGAAAAACGCAGATCATGTGAAGGATGAGATAACAGTTGATTTATGAATGGGGAGGAGGAATATACAACGCCCCGAGCAAACACGACATCTAATTGGTCAAAACACCATTTGGGGGTGTGTTAAACAGCCTGGTTTAAATACTAGAAACACCATCAAATCTCTCTTCTCTCTTCCCTCTTCGCTCTTCTCTCTTCGCTCTTGGTTCTCTTGGTTCTCTTCTTCAACCCCCTTCTTACTCTCCTCTTTTTTAGGGATAGCTTTGAGCTATGCTTTTAATCATGCTTCTTTAGCTTTTTGAGCGTGCTCTGGCTTACACGCCAGCTCCGAAACCATGAGGAGAAACGCCACCTAGTCTCATCAAACTTTACATCTATTTCTATTTCTTTAGTTTATTTTATTTTCCGTTGAGAGTTTCGTGTTCTGAGTTAAGCCGAACGCCGCATCTCCGAAGAGTGCTGTCTAATCTTCAACTGCAGACCACAGCTCCGCGTCGCCAGCCAACGCCCAATCACTGGCTTCCCAAGACTGAACCTCCAGCCAATCAGAAAAGCGGGAAACCCCTTTCAGCAGACAAGGAAGGGAACCCCGGACACAGAAACGCAAGTACTCCAGAGAGCTGAACTGGTGCATTTAATCTCAATTTTAACCTCATTGAGCAAACTCAATGCAAGGGTTAATTAAGTGATTGATGGTTGTTCAGATCTATACAATGGCACATATTGCTGTAAACTTGGGATTTCACATTTTCATTCTCTTAAACTAATTATTTTCCTCACTTTCTCTCTTTCTGCAACTTGTGTGTGAATGCGTGTGTTAGATTAGTTTATATGTCTTAGATTGATCCAATAAAGCCTTATTTATATTGAAAAGAGAAGTATCTTGTGTTTTGTGCTCACAAGTTAATGTCTTAAACTGCCGATCTTGTTACATATGCTAATTAATAGTGTTTTCACTATATTTTGGATATAAATATCCATTGCAGAATTGATGTCATACGGCTCGTTCACTGAATCGCAGGCCGTCTCAGTGATCCGCCGTAAAACAGTGATTCTGTCCTAATTCCCTTGCATATCAATGGTGGAGTTCCCTTTAAAATCTTAAATGATTCCCTTTGAGCTAAATTATTGACCTGTTTCCCTTACATAGAGCAAGTAAATCCATACTTTATGAATACTTCTTGATATTATGTTGTTTCCTACACTGGTCAGACTCTTGCTCTTAAGTTTAGTAGAAGTACATGGTTCAGATGACTCCGGCAGGATGTCTGTCCAAAACTTTTTATTCATTTTGTCCATTAATTTACACAACAGGGACATTTTGAGTATCCTGAAGATGCAAACTTTTGATAATACTGTTATTACTGTTAAAAAAATACTGTTATATAAATATATATTATTATATTTATTACATATATATATATATATATATATATATATATATATATAGCTCCGCGTCGCCAGCCAACGCCCAATCACTGGCTTCCCAAGACTGAACCTCCAGCCAATCAGCAACCTCGGGAAACCCCTTTCAGCAGACAAGGAAGGGAACCCCCGACACAGGAAAGCAAGTACCCCAGATTCTGCTGAAAAACTTGGGATTTCACAATTTCATTCTCTTAAACTAATTATTTCCTCACTTTCTCTCTTTCTGCAACTTGTGTGTGAATGCGTGTGTTAGATTAGTTTATATGTCTTAGATTTATCCAATAAAGCCTTATTTATATTGAAAAGAGAAAAAGAGAAGTTTTTGTGCTCACAAGTTAATGTCTTAAACTGCCGATCTTGTTACAGTGCTAATTAATAGTGTTTTCACTATTTCACTATTATAAATATCCATTGCAGAATTGCTGTCATACGGCTCGTTCACTGA